ATATGAATATCCTTAAAACCAACAAYGCTAAGTAAAACTTGAGGTCGCAGCAATTTTGCCCAGGTTTGTAATACTCCCAAGGATCTRCAGAGAAGACTCATTAATACAGAAATTAAGATTCAATTTAAATGCTTTCCTATCTCCTGGAAAGCACTCAAAGTCCTCAGAGAACATGTTGTTAAGATGGACTTCACAGCAACCTTAACTGCTGAAGGACTTTCATTCTGGCTACACAAGGAAATTAACAGAAACACTTCCTACAGAAACCAGCCTGCATTGGATATTAAATGCTTTCCCCATCCTGAAATGTGAATAGGAAAGTAAACAGTGGTACTCTGGGCACTGAAATAAGGGTATGAAATGATGCACCCAGACCAAATCAGGGGCTCTCTGACTGCATGTGTAAGAACAACCTAGAGCAAGAGCCCCCTGATTCCTCCCTAAACACTGTAAGAAACTACAGTAACACAAGTAAATCATCTGTTGACAAACATTTGCACTTGGAATGCAAACTTAAGTGATTTTAGAAACTATTTGGGAATTTTAAACAAAATCATAACAGCGTATCATAACAGCAGTGCTGATCCTTGTTGCACAAAACTCATTGCTTTTACGTGTGGAACCATTGTACTTTTGTACACATTACTATGCATCAGATGTAGCAATCCAGTAATTGCAAAAGAATTGCAAAATTGCAAAAGAGACAGGAAAGGAAAAAGTAAAATGACAAGGAAAAAAAAGCAAATTTAGGGGAATGATGCCCCCACGTTCCTGCTGTTTGAGGGAAAAGTATCCAGCAAATAGATGGTGCTTAGACACACTATCAGCAGGACATCAAATTTTGGGGTGATCAGTGTCATGGCTCAGTCTCATACAAGATGATGTAACTTGATCCAGATCCAGCAAAGCAACTGGACCAATGTTTAATTTTCAGCTTGTGAGCAATGCCACTGAAGGCAAACTTCTTGTGGATTTAAAAACATAAGGTATTACATTTATTTAAACTCTTGTTGGATAAGTACCAAGGAGTTACATTGCTAAGTTAAAAATACCTAAAGATCCTGATTCAGGTCYCAAAATACTATTAGACATTACTTTAGAGCCCTCACCCTCAATTAAGAAAGAACTAGTTTGGCTCTGGTTTCTTATAGTCATAAAATGATCAGCAAAATATTTACTCAAATCACTTGGCTCATATCTTCAGGTTTTTTTTCACAGCCAAGAGGGTCCAATACATTTCAAAATGTGAATACAGAGATTCCTGTGTTGCTAGATTTGTCTCCAGGAGCTGGTGTTAAAAACCAAAACAAAAACCTAAGGCTCATAAAAGCATAAGAATAGTTGATTTTGGATGTACTCTGCACCTCGTTCATTTGAACCTCCCGACAATTATACTGACTAAAACAAACCAGGATTACTTCCCTCTTGCTCTGGGAGATGCTGCTGCTTTAGTGCAAGACCAGTTCGAGAACTGCAGCAACGAAATGTTAACTCTGTCTGGATGAAGAAAATCTGCTTTCCTTTCCCTATATTGTCCATACTCACTTTTGTCCCCACACTTTGCAGTCTCTGCATTTCCTCTGACTTAAAAYATGACAACCTCTGTCTGTTACAAGCAGTTGCTTAATAAGCCCTGAGAGTAGATCAGTCTTCTGCTGGCTACAATGTGAGGTGCTGAACAGGAGGAAATGAACTTCAGCTGCTGAAACAGCTTCTGCTAGAAGCTTATGGGAACCAGGTCCCAAGATTCCCCTATCTGATTTAAAAGCGCTTTCCTAAAGATATCTATCTAAACATTTTTAAACAGATCTTTTCATTCATCCCTGAATTGAGAATAAAAGCAATCTGATAAAAAATTACATAGGCTACATGCCAAAGCAGAAATAGCAATTCATTGGCCTTGAAATGTAGTTCTTTTACTGGAAACATTACAAAAATGAGGACCATAGTCATCACAAAAAAAAGAGGCAGATTTTAACAGGCACTCTTCAGAACAGTCTTGACTTTTCATCTTCAATTATCAGTTCATAAATCTAAAATTTCTCAGTTGCTAGCAAATGGGTGAAGGTCACCAAACAGGGACATAATAAAGTTATTGTGATTTAGAAAATTAACAGTATGAACTATTTTCTTTTCACAGTACACTGGATTTTCCAAAGCCATTTCCCTTAGTAAAGGCCAGTAGAAAACCAAAACCAAGAAACACCCAAAAAAGAAATTCCCTTTCAACTGCCAAGATCGATTATCTGCAAATAAACTTGGATATATTTTCCTTTTGGATTAAATTAAATAGCTGATAATGATATCCTTTCAAAGTTTCAAGGATTCAAAAGCACTGCAGATTTAGGAGGATTGAAGGGAGGACCRTGAATTAGTAACTAAAGTAGGTCAACCACATTTAGGAACTACCAGGAGAAGCCAATATCCAAACTCATTCACCTAGCCTTGCTCTCCCGTAGAAAATACAAGAATATCTTGATTCCTCACTGCCAGGACATAACTCCTTTAATTTCTGTTGAACAAAGCACACCTCAACATCCCCACAACTTAAGTTCCTATATGAGGTAAATGCCTCAAAAAAAAATCAGTATCTAAAGTCAGAATCATAAATCTTCACTTTGACATCTCCCCATATACTGTTTACTACCAAGTCAATTCTTCTCCYATTTTCAAAATGAAAAAAAAGAAAAACAGAAAAAAGTTTTAATTCCATTTCATCCTAAAATAATTAGGTAATCCTACTCTGTGAGACAAAATGAAACAAAAATAAAGTGACAAAATGCAAAGTTTCCCATCTTATTACCCATTCATGCATGCACACTGACAACCTTTTCTTCATAATGATTCATCAGAATATGTTTTTTTTTCACATAAAATAGAATGAAAAGAATGTCTGTTTTTAGCATCCCAAGTATATATAAAACACTATYTTTTTTCTGCTTTTCTGTCCTTACCTTCTTTTCAGTAATAAACAAACCAATCTTCCAGCTGGTCCTTGCAAGACATTTCCCATTATCTGCTGCCCATTTTCAAATTAAAACCACAATGATTCTGACCTTACAGCTTACAAAATCTGTGGGAATTACTTTCAGTAAAGAGGAATATTTTTTCTGTCATCCTCAAAAGCCTCATTTGTTGAGGGTTTGGTTGAATAAAACAAAATAAACACTTCTTGGACAGGATTCAAGCACCAACAAGATTAATTCAGAAATAAGATTCTAAATTTTGCAGTAAATGGCAGCAGCCTCTAGAATGGGAGCCACTATGTTACCTTAGGYATACCAAGCATCATACTCCTGTGACAGCAATGTTGCTCTAATGGGCATTAAATTGACATGATGCAGACATCTGAAAATAAAGCTCAAGTACAAGGCTGTGCTTGCATGGGATGTGCCCTTAAATGATCTGTGTTTATCAATGACAGGTTGTCAAAGATGGGAATTAATAAAGGAAACCTACTGCTGTAACTATACTGGCTGAGAGCTAGCAGAGTCTTCTTCTTCCTTTACCTATTCCCTGACAATTGCATTTAACTGGCAGAAGAAGGAGCAGATAGCTTCTCCTGGGGCTGGAGTGCTTGGAAATCATCACAATATTAGGCTTGATATCCAAGCCCAATCATATTTACATTAGAGTAGATCAAATCAAAACTCAACTTGAGACCAAACATTCCCTGCATCAAGGACCACAAGGGTATCAGTTCAAAGAAAATGGTTGGCCACAACTTCTCATGACAGAAATTAGAGTCTCAGAATACAGARGTGCAAAACCCTGCTGAGTTAAGCAGTTTAGTTTTCCTGAACTGCATTCTTATATTCAATACCAACAGATCAAAACTTTTCCATTGACACTTTTTAACAGAATRTGGATTTTTGATAAAACTAAAAACCACTTTCTAATTTTTTTTTCTTTTTAAGATAATATAGTATATCTTAATATTGTCAGATATTTATTTTCACCCAATACTTACTCCTCCATTGCAATAATGGAGCAATTTCAYGCTTATAACAATGGTCAGCTGCTACTAAAATAATTGCAGCAATGTAGAATCACCACTTTTAAAAGTTACCGATTAGAAGGGATGAAAAACAAAATTTAGACTGCACATACTTCATATCATCACCAGAACAAGGAAAATAGGATCAAAGGGTGACAACTGAAATTCATTAGATACTTTAAAGAGACCGGAAAAACACTTACTGCTCTTTCTTATGAGGGAACATGTTCTCTTTAACAAGAATTTACAAACCCACTACTTCTTTCCCCACGAGCTTAGCAGATAGCCACACAAAGCCAGAGAGCAGTCCTGTGTAAAATAAGGCCTTTTACACAGCCCTTTTCTGAGAYGAACTGTATTTTTCCACTTTGCATGAATTAGCAAGGGTATACAGATATCAGCACAGGAGAGAGAAGACACCTCTGCCTCCTTATTGTAATGGTTTTCACTTCCACCTTTTCAACCAACCAACCACTTCCCCAGTCTGGAACAAAACGTGATGTTTTCATGCAGATCAGCAAGCCAGGCACATGCAGTCTTCAGAGCAGCTCTCATAAGCCTGATTCCATTGAYTTCAATAAAGCCAAAGTGATTTCCATCAGCTGAGGAACTGGTCTGACCTGTATAGAACAGRCTACTGTGCACAGTAAAAGCCCAAAGGCTGAAACACTGAAATTCAAGCACCTAGACATAGATAAGAGGGGAATTTTTAGTTCCTTTCAAAGGTGCAACTAATTTCCATGGACTTCAGAGTAGCAGGAACTTCCCTGGTGGCAAACTAGGGCTAATTCCCTGGCACCATTGCAGCTACAATGATTTATTCAAGATGAGGTCCTGTCCTTAAACTTAMGTGGTATTGGAGCATATATTCATGACCTAATCCATTACCATAGAATGGAGAAATGGAAGGAATGARAGAAGTACAAATGAAGATTTCATCACTTAAGTAAAATTGAGGTCTGTTATTTTTTATATTTATTTCATAGAATCATTCATTTCTTACCTCACAGACACAAGCAAGCTATTGTTCAACTTCAATTCTCTCAGATTAGGCAGATGCACACCTGTGGGAACAGAATAAAGAATCACATTGCAGAGCTGGGATTTGAGTAAAGGAAATTTATGACAATTACAAGTTGAAGCATCTAATTTTACATGCATTTCTTGGCTATTTCTGCCAGACCTGTGCTGGACTTCTTGTAAGAAAATCAGTGAGATTATTTCACTCATAAAATATTTAATCCTTCACATTTTTGAAACATATACGTATTGTCTGCATGACTACCCAGTTATAATTTTTGAACCCCTCTCTGGAAATTCTGATATGGCTCCTTTCCAGACAGACAAAAGAAACTGGCTTGATGGGTGTCTGTTTTCTTTGGTCTTATTCCTCACCCTGATTGAGTATTAACTGAGTGATACTCTGCAGAGCTAAGGGATACTTTAGAGTACAGCATTCCATGACTTGTTTAATGGCAAGTAGTGATGGACTTACTGGATACACAGCCAAGTAACACTTCTTCAAAATATAACTTKGAGTCAAATAACAAACACACAATGTTCCATGTCACAACATCATCTATTATAGTTCACCGTTCCCCCAAACACTACATTTTGCAAAGCATTGCTTTCTTCTTATAATTTTCTGGATATGATCAACTATTTACTATTGAATTGTACCAGTTTCATACCTATAAATGCCTCTGTATTCTGTTATTACTCTAATTAATGATTATTTTTTTCTATCCCTGAGAGATATTTGCCTTTTTGGTTCACTGAACCAAAATGATACACCAARTCCCTCTGAGCTACAGAATWATTTAGACATAAGCTCAAGYCTCAGAAACCATTTCTTACTGACAGTAGCAAAGGTTTACCCATTCCCACTAGCAGAGTTTACTCAAGGCTGGTGAGCATCCTCCAGTATAACATGCAACCATGTAGAAGTAATACCAATTTTAGACAAACTGCATCATTGCTGAAACATTAAAATGTTTTCTCAGCAAATGTTTTTATGAGTTCTCTGAGCAATCATTGTCTGGCAAGGGTGACTTAGRGTGACTGTCCAGAAGGACTCCATTCCAGTGCTTTGCAAAGGATAAAAAAAATATAGGGGGGAGTGGGATCTCAAAAGCAAACAAAGAAAGTCACGTTGTTCATTCCCCAAACAGAACAAACACATTTATGGCAAAAACATTTAATAAATCATGTTTTAATAGAAGCATTATCTACATCTCATGTTATTTTGGAGTGATTATAATGCACATATTGATCTTCATRCTGTACTGCAAGTATTTAAGTTCATGTCTTTGCAAAGCACTTCTGAAAATACAAAAAATTCAAGAGACACTGTGCAATTTTTTTAGCTTTGTTTTTTAATCACTTTCCATAATCCATAAAAAATTGGAGCACAAATTAGAACACACAATCCTCATCCTGCAGGGTATGTTTTTTCATGTCAAACAAGTTTTATACATTTACACAGCAATGAAATAATTTGATGTCCTCGCAGAGGAAATATTAGGATCTCTGTTAATTACTCACAGCACTCATACTAACTACTGAGCAAAGACTTCCTTAGATATAAATCATGCCCTAAGAAATTCCCCACAAAAATAAAAATCTAGATCTAAAAAATTTCTATTCTGTTTCTGACAAAGATAGAGAGATTAAATGACATCCCCTGAAGTGTTAAAAGAAAAAAATGAGAGGGATGCAGTAGCCCTTCTGGTCCCAGCTCAGAAGCTGCCAAAAGCCTTGCCATGGATTCAATCAGAGGTAAAAGGATTACCAAGCAAAGGCTGTTGCAAATCATTACAAAGAAAATGAGTTTTAAGGACTAGTATTAAGCAGGAGATTTGAATGAGGAGTCAAGAGAAATGGAGAGACTTGCCCAAGAAAAAGCTTTCCACTGAATACACTCAGGGTTGATTCAGGGAGGGAACCAATAAAGGATCCAAAGAGGCCGAGTGACAGGCTGATGATACAATTTTCACATCTGGTTATTTCATTATTGTAACTTGATCCTCCAGCTCAGATTTTTTTTTTGCATTTTGGCACAATTTTTCCCTAGGAACTTGTAAAGTGTTACACATCAATATGTGGTTTACTAGCTCAAAATAGAAGTATACAATGTGTAGTGGTGTCAAATTCTGGCAGCAATATTCTGCATATATTTCTACAAGTCTGCAGGTTCTTCCCTCCTTTAAGTTTCATACAGATACGTAAATGTTCTTTGTTGCTAAGAATTCATTGTTCCATTGATTTTAGTGGTTTTTAGAGTTCCAAATCTTTTAAATAGATTAGAGGATGGGAAATTAAATTAGGAAGAGAAAATTGTAAAATGAAGGTGACAAAATAACAATGCATGTAATGTAACAATGTAACAATGCATTTCTAATTTTTCTAATTTTAACCCTCATGGCATCTTTCCTAAGAGCAAGGACACATGATTCTAACATCTAAAAATACTCTAAAATACAACAATATTAACTTCTAATATTAATTTCAGAACTGCAGGTAGTATATTCCTTGCCCTGAAACTGCCTTCCCTTGTATAATTTTGATTTTTAAAAACAAGAATGGTCCACAAAAATGCTGATGATTGCAGGACAAGGCTGAGAATTCAGAATGAYGAGCAGTGTTATCTCATCTGTCTACGATTCCCTTTCACTAAAGACCGGTTTTGTTAYATGGCTCTGAAATTACTAACCACCAACAATGTACCAGTGCTAAACCATTCTACTGTAYCAGTGGAACAAAACGAAATGAAGAGCAGAAAGAAATCACAGYGCAAGTTAGGTGAATAAAAGTGATACACACGCACTCAACAACATTGCCCGAAGTGCTGCTATTCACAAGCAGGCTAGCAACGCAGATGTCTTTCTAAGATGCCTTGGTACAGCAGGAGACATTAGAAAACTGATTAGGAGTAGAGAGAAAACAGCCAAAATGCTGGGTTTATTATATTCTACAAGTTACAACACTTCTATTTGTTGTTTACATGATGAAGTATTGTTTAGRTAGCATCATATATCTTTGTTTTTTTATTGAAAACAAAAAATCATAGTGGCTTGACTTCTTGTGTCTTTTGGAATATGGACTAGTCAAAACCAAAGAAAAGAAATTACTGACAAATGCTTGCATTGGCATCAGGCAACCATCGTGCTTTGTTGATCCTGCAGTACAATACAGGCATATGAAAACAGGCTCTTGCTCYCCCAGCAAGAGCAACCTGATATGCAAATTACACAATCTATTTAGTTCACTTGAGCTGTGTTTGATTGAGTAAGATACAYCACTTTGATGCTATTTCTACACACACATTTTTTTGTGCATTTCTGAGGTGAACTGGGCAATACAACTAGAAGTGAGATCACAGCCCTTTCAGGCAAACCCAAGGCAGCTGCAGTTGAGCTACTTGAGATGGGCAACTCGAAGAAAACACATCAGTGCAGGTTTATAACATAAGCACAATGCCCCAGTACATACTTGTGACTCACAGAGACCCTGCCCAAGCCCTGCTCAGACAGTGTGTCAGTACCAGCTAAGCCAAGGCCATCCTGGGCAGGAATATCCAYGCCACACTTGCTTCTCCAGCCTCTGTGCTGCTCCCTGGCCGTGCAAGCACCTGCTGCTGCCACACTGGCTGCCAGCAAAGGGGTCCTGGCTCTGTATCAGGAATGCCAAGGAACAAGGCAAGAGGAAAGAGAGATGATGACCCTGCGTGAGAAATAGCACATGGCTACTGCTGAAGCCTTGGCAGAGCTTTGCCTTGATAAAACGCGTGCGAGGGAAGTGGCAGTCTCCAGACATGTAATCAACTTAGTCTGGCCACCAGCAGGCAACAATTCAATAAGTACCAGCGAACAGCACTGTGGGTAACTTGATTTGGAGCTACTAAAATTACTTAGAAATAAGAGGACTATGTAGTGTCTTAAATGACTCTATCCTACCATTATTTTCAACAGGAATTTCTATGAGTCAGTCATGAATGCAATTCCATACCTGTGAGCAATCAAAACTGAAGGGATAAGCTAATGAAAAGGAAATAGTCCCTCTGTTTAAATATGAGCTGAGATCTACATGCAGCTGAAGAGCACAGAAATCAACTCCAAGATGTGCAAACCTGGATACAAGACTTGCCAGGGAGTTCAGTGTTCATCTGTCACCCAGCAAAGTGCACTGAAAACAGCTAGTAATTTCAGCAGTTACCCCAAAGCCCTGCAAAGATTCAGATTCAAGCTCTGGCACGAAGCCTTTCCTTGATTTTAAAACTGATCAGATGAAAATATTTCAATATCAGTCTTTTCAGTTTTAGCCCACTCCTTGACCCTAAGAAAAGTAACTCCTCCTCACCATGTCTCGCCATTTTGTAGAGGCAGATCTGACAAACTGGCCAAGGTTAACAGGATGGTGCTTTAAAGTTTAGCAAATTCCAAAGTAGAATGGTCTCAAAAAAACATCAAGTGACAAATTTTATATCACTCTGTAAACCTTTAGGCCCTGAGTATTTGTGTTACAGTCTGTAACACAGGCTGTGAACCTTGAAATGTTTCTCAAGTGACAACTGTGGTGTAAATTTGGGATTTGAGTGCTGCGAGGTTCCAGGTGACCCAGAGTTATGTGCACTCTAGTAATGTTTAACACTTYCACCTGGCCATTTGAGAGGCTTGCACAGCCTATTTTATCTTTACACATAAACCAAGTTAAAACAATATTCTTTACTGAGTGTAGACTGATCATCCAAACAAATAATCTGMTGATGATAAAGATGCTCTTACCCACCTTCCTCAACTAAGGAATACAATGAGAGCAAGGTGAAGTGGTTTAATATGTGTATAAAGAAGGCTTATTAGCCAGGTTTGAAACGCAAAAGAAACACCAAATGACAGAGCAGTCCACGCTGGAGGGGACAGCTGCAAGTCTCAAGCCCAGAATCCTGCTCAGAGCCAGGTTGTCAGTGAGATCAGACCAGGATGTTCAGGTCTTCACCCAGTTGAGTCTCGAAAACCTACCAGGATGAAGTCTCCAAACTTCTCTGGATACTGCTATTGTTTGACTGTCCTAATAGGGGGGACTTGACATCCTGTCACACAGGAACTTCTGTCATTCYAGCTGGTCTGGTTCTTACCCTACTCTTTTCCTCAGGCTATCTCTCTGTGACCACAGACCAGGTCAGCAGCACAGTTCCAGGGGCAGGCAGCCAGCGGGGAGCAGGCAATGAGCCCAACAGCTTCAACAGCACACTGGCTTACACCATTCATGTTGGAGTATAAACTGCTCTGCAAAACCCCTAAATWTTTCGGCCTTACTCCCTGGGCCTAAAACTCATCTGCCATGTGAAAAAAAAATCAAAAGAAACTAAAGCAAACCTTCCACCTTAACCACATGCTGACATTTGCAAACAGATTTGCACAGGAAGGAAACTCAGAAAAGCCTAAAAAAAAAAAAAAAAAAAAAGCAGAAGGAAATTCAGAATGGTCTGGATGTTCTGCTGTTCTCAAAAGCAGTGGGGACCTGCAGGTGCTGGTTTTTACGGCCCTCAAGGGCCAACTCTCGGTGTGAACAGTGGGATATAAACAAGATGGAAATTATTYGTATCATGGACATAGTGCTCTGTATTTTGTATTCTGTAAAGGTTGCAAAAGCCTAACCTTGGGGAGAAGAAAGGGATTTATTCCAGTAATGGAAATGAAAGGGAAGTAAAGAGTAATGAAGGTGAAACATTCTGCTAGCTTGTCACAGCTAATGTAAAATGGCATAGGAATGGGAGCACCACTTTTGAGCATTATAGAAATGGCATAATGAGATTTCCTTATCAACTGAAGAAAATATGATTGAATAGATTACGATCTCTGAAAGAAACGGATGTAATTTACCTTAAATTATCAAGTGCCTATGAGAAAGAGACTTATTAATGAAATAAACAGAATAACTAATACAAAGAGGCTACATAATACAAAACAAAAGCCCCCTTCACTGTTCTTGCTCAATCATTCTTGACAAATAGACATCAAAAGACCCCTTAAAGCTAATCAGCTGTTACATTATAGTAATTTTCATATGAAAAATTAACTGCTCGACAGAAAACACCAGCACACAGTTTTGGGGACATGACTCCTTTTTGGCACATAAAATATTATCCTGCAGTAGCTACTCAGCTTCAATGTAGCAGAAGATGGACATGATTGTCGTGGGAATTCACATTTCAGAAAATGACTGCCAGTGCTGGAATAAAAGGAAGGCTTTATATTCTCAGTGTTAGCTCTGCCACAGAGGAAATTCCTTTGGTACTTCTCACTTTCCTGGTGCAGTGATGATGACATAAAAATGAATGACAAGTGTTAGGGCTGTTTGGGGTCCATCAAAATGATGTATCTACAGGACCTGCCTCCAGCTCATTTTCCAGCACAGTTCTGTGAGGCCTTACAGGGTGCAAAGAAAGGCTRCTGGCAGCATAAGCCACCTGATACCACTGGCAATTTCTCAGTCATAGGGAAATCTCACAGTGAAGAGAAGCTGACCCTTGGCTCCTGTTTCACTAGAGACAAGTACTCAAGAGTACTCATTTAGGGCCTAGCATATCATAGAAGAAAAATTAGTTCAACTAACTGGCTTTAGACAGAAGTCRTGTCACTCATCCTTTTGCCAGAGTTTTCACTCCTATTCAGAGCCTCACACCAGAAGACAGGGATCAAAGAGTGTGAGGTACACCAGGGAGACCCTGTTTCAAGAACTCTTGAGCAGGACAATACTTTACACTGCTTGTTGGTCAGTGAGTCCTCAGTCAAGACACGATAAAGGAAAATTCAAGATGGTGAGCAGAAAAAAGAGTTTTCTCACCAAAGTTCCCCAAGCTGATCTCTCTGGTGTCTACTTTCATCTCTAGGGCCTTCACTCGCTGCAGATCATCCACTCCTGCCAAAACTTTCTGTAAAGGCAAGCAGAAATATATGTGTGCTCTCATGCAATAAATCAGATGTCACAGCAGCAAAAAGGTGGACAAAGGCTTTCAGCCAGTGTTTTGTCAACATATATTTCAGGTCAACATGGCTAGATGTGCAATCACATTGAAATAAATTTAGCATTCAAAGATCTTTCTTCCTTGTAGCCCCCAAATATTCTGGTCTTCCATAACAGATATACTGCTCAGAGTCAAGGCTGAGGGTTGCATTCAAGCTGAAAACCAACAACAGACCTACATGCCAATGAGCTTCATTTGAACAACGTGTCCRTGCTTTAAGATTTGCACAAGTCCTGCACTAATCCTCAGCAGACAGAAAGTGTTAACCTTAAGCATCACCTATAATGCAAAAAGTGCTGGTAGTAAAACTCAACACACTGTTTACCTTTTAACCAAAAACAACAAAAGGAAATATGCTTTTAGCTCAAGCAGTTTTCTGAAAGAAGACGACACTAATTACAAGAATTATTAATTCCTTTGAAAATATCTAGGCAATGCAGAGGCCTTCAAATCTTTCGTTATTTTTTGCAAAATTGTAGTAATTGGATGAACCATTGCATTAAACAAAGATGTGTGTGTGAATGCAGATCTTTCCTAATCTTTCCCAATATCCTAAAGTCTGTGTTGCTACATCCATGTACATTTTACCTTGGCAGAGGTAAGCAGGAGGAACAAAACAAGCAGCAGCTATACACAGAGGAGAGAGGGAAGCTCTAAGGCTCCAAGTGAAAACTACAGAAAGGCTGTGAAATCCTAAGATGTGAGGCCACAATTCCACAAGTAGCTGTGGCAATCTCACAYTACCACTGTTCTCATCCCCTGTTTATTTATTCCTGCTATGATCCAAATCTCTCTCCCCAGTTTCCCTCATTCAGGCTGCACGTCCCACCACYTCCTTTGCATCAGCTTAGTGGATCCTTCCATACATGAATTCAACACAGCAGACCAGAAGAACTGTATCTTTTCTTCCTCATGGGTTAGTGGTTCATGGAGGAGTCTCACACAATATTTGAGAAATGAGAAGCAAGGTCTATTTGTCACACTAACTGCCTGAAATAGTTGATGCTATACACAGGATCATCATCATAGAAACTAATAAACTTTTACCTTTCTGTGTCAAAAGAGTTAGGATGTGGGGCTCAACATGTCAACCTCAAAGAAATGTCTCACCATGGCATCAGTTTCCTTCTCAATGATCACCTTCCTTTTGGGCATTTACTTAAGGTGAAGGCAGAAAGTCATTCAACAAGCTCCACATACAGGAGACAAATTTTCTTACCATTAAAAAGCTGCAATATTCTTTAGGGTTTCTTTAATAAGGGATAACTTATTCATTAGAAGGGAATGTGTAGGGGCACCTCTGCTTATGAGTTTTGGGAAGAAAAAATAACYACAAGAATATCCAGTTCATTTTGCAAGGAAAAAAATGGCGGTTGTGACATCCCTGGTCATTAAGTAACATTTTAATTGTGCACAAGTGGCTGCAACTTCCTCTAATGGYGCCATATCCTCTTATGAAGGACCAAAACCAGCCTGAGTGTAACTAAGATGGCAATTTAAAAGGACATGGTTTCCAGAAAAAGCTGAGCATTCCTCCTTGAAAACCTGTCCCTCTTTATAAGGTCTTGACTTGCACTCATAAGAAACAGAACTATCCAAAATCTTCAACTGCTTTTGAACTATTTTTAAAACATTGTGTTTAAAAATATTTTAAATCTTGTTTTTAAAATAATTTAAAATCTTATTTTTAATCTTTTTTTTTTAATATGATTTGAAGCAGGCTGAACATAAGAAAGCTTCTAGACTCTATCCCCAAATGCAGCCACCACAAAATGTGTTTTGCTCTTGCAAAGGCAGCAAACTTACCACCTACAGACTGCCTTCTTCCTCCAAGTGAACACAAGATCCCTCATGGTAAGGCACATTTTGCAGTAACCCTTTTCAGCAGATGACGCTGTCTGTCACATAGCACGAGATCATGTGTGAAACGAGAGCTAGCTGATGCCCTGCTATAAAACCGTGCACTCAGATTGTTGAATTCACATGCAAGCTCACTGTCATTAAAGGAAGAAGCTTCTGAAAAATACCTCCCTGCTCTTCATCAAAATAGTTTTAAGAGCCGACATCAGAGCAGGAAGAAGTCCCAGAACAAGTAATAAGCTTAGGGTCACACACTTTGTCAGCTGAGTAGCAGAAGGTCCTGATAACCCAAGGAGCCTTTACTCCTTTTTTTTTGTCCTTTTCTCCTTTGTAGTCTGCAGGTTCCCTGCATGCTGTCCTTCCCCTGTTTTAATCCAGACAGCCTCCCCTCACAGTTTTGCTCCCTGATCTTTTTTTTTTTTTTTTTTTTAAATCCAAGTATAAAACTTGCATGAAGTTATATTCTCTCCTCGTCTAGGGTTCCCTATTCCTTTTTCTCATGCCAGGGATTACCAGGATCATTCTTTGCCCCCATTTTCCTCTTCCTGAACCGCTATTGGTACTTTTTCCACTGTCTGAGAGATGCACTCTTACTGCACCCATATTTTTGTACTGCAACAGGCAGCACTGTGACTCCAGCACTGGAAAGGGTTATTGGCTGTCATCACCAGCTCTTTGAACTATAGATAGCTGCCTGGAAGCATGTGCTAACCGGATGCAACGAATTCTGTATATTCTCAGTGCCCACCTCCCTGTTCTGCATTTCCAAGAGTCTCTGTGAAAATCACTGTCCTTCCATCTGCTGATGGTGAGGAGATGCTGGGAAAGCTTGAAAACAATTTGATGTGGGATGCACTAATTAGTGTAGTACATGAAGGAAATGAGAAATGCTCTGGGGTGGATTATGAGCTCATTTAAAGGCACTAGAAGCACTGAGACCCCAGGTGTTGACTGAAAGCAAGTCAGCCAGCAAAGGCAGGGCAGCAGTTCAAGAGAAGGATACATAATGAATGGCCCCTGTGGAAGATGGTTAGGACTCTCAAGACCATTCTTGGCATGCTGGTGCACCTGCAGTTGTGATTCTTCTCATATCACAGCTGAAATTCTGACACCAGGAATGGGAGACATTTAGGGAAGGATGTGGAAACATTTAAGCAAAGATGAAACCTATTTAGCAGGATCTTCCTTTTAGGCTAGTGTTTAATGTCAAAGCATGGGAACCTYCATCAAAATTTGAAGAGGGATATTTAGGAAGAATTTTGCTGCAAGAGAAATAAAAAAATCATGACCCAGCACACTAAAGGGTCATCAGCTTGGACAGAGAAACGTCTGGCACCATGTGGATAGAAGTGATGTTAGTGCTCTGTGTCTCTTCATTCCTAGGGCCACCCCAGGTCTCAGACAGGCTCCTGCCCTAATTCAGAGGTGTCCTGCTGTGGCTTCAGGTAATGACTGCCTGCCCACAGCCTGATGGGCTGTTTTGACAGTCAGGGACAGGATGTCTCTGCCTGTGCACCAGGAATGCTTACAGACATGAAGGTGCTGTACCATCTAGGGATTTCTTTGGCCTTTTCCAGCAGCTCAGCTTCCACACAGAGCAAGCAAAAAGGGACCAAGGATCTGTTCTAGGCAAAGATTTGGATATATTCATAGTTATTTTAGATCAAAGAGACACCTTGAAAAAAAACCATATAATTCTAGGCTGATTGTTGGAGTTCAGAGAGGATTCTGCTTGCCACACATCTGCAGCCCTGCAAGGTAGGTATCAGTCAGACAGAGAAGGGGGATGTTTTCTGAAGAATCAAACATCAAAACCTTTCTGGCAGACAGTGTTCAAGAAGGTGGTCTGAGAGCAAGAATGTTACACTCCACTGTAAATTTGTTTATTTGAAAGGATACATTTCCATGGTAAAGCAATGCACAGCTCTTTGAAGATGAATACAGGGAAAGTAAAACAAAGACAAAAAGACAAATAAAGTTTACTTTATATTTTTTTCACCTTTGTCAAAACAGGAGTAAAACTATTTTTCATTGCATTATGGAGAAGCTATTGGTAAATAATTTAGCCAGTATTTTAAGAAGYAAGTCCATGATGGCTCACAAACCATTCCACCGTGCAAAATATCTCGCCAAGCTTTTCCTCTGACTGACAAGAAAAGCCAATAAGTATTCTGTAAAAAACTGCAAGTGAGATACTTCTGTCCTTGCAGAGCTTCCCAACTGGCTGAGCAGTCACCTGGAAATGCAGTTCAAGTCCCACTTGCAACTATCTGTAAATTCCTTAATTGGCAAATAATATCTGTTCAGTCAAAACTGGCGTACACAACTGATTTCATTTCTCTTCCCTARATTTTTCACATACTCTAAGTGGGCCTGTTGCTGAAGAACAAGTTGCRTGCAGCTGTCAGAGAAATATTTCCAGCTGTGCATTTATTTTGCTGATCCTGGTTAATTTGGCTAAGACAGGAATTCCTGAGTGGTGAGCTTGTTCTCTTTGAATACTACACCTGTATGCAAATTCTAGATTCATGTCCATTCATGTGTTTACTGCTTTTTTTTTTTTTTCAAATTCTCAACTCAAGTATAATCTCTCCTTCAMAGAAAAAAAGGAGTTGCTAAAAGTATGATAAAATATTTCTTCTAAGAAGAAAAATATTAGAAAATTAATAAGCCTTAAGTGATTCTAACTCACGGGATTTTCAGTGAAAGGGAAYAGAACTTGTCTGTGGTCCCACATGCAAACTTGCTTTCAAAATGGTTAAATTCTGCAGATGCCCATCATGAAAATATTTAGCAGTATTTCACTGCTTTCTGAATATACATATAAATACATTCTTCTCTCAGCTCAGATGAAGAGATTAGCTAGGAGATAGAAAAAGATATTTTCTTGGCTTGTATGAGAAGTGTAGATGAGAGCAGTAAATACAAAATGTAAGTAGTGGTGGATGCCTAGTAAAGATGTCTTTATTCTCATGCCGAAGCCTCCAAGTCCTGCCAGCAGATCCCCATGGATAGACCTTTGCCTGGTCTTGCCATCTTGGGTTCAACTTCCCACTGACTCATGCTGGGGATTCACAGTTCTGATAGCTTTTTTTAAACCAGTATCAAGGGCCTGATGCTGCAAGTTGCTGGGGAATCTAACTACTGCAGACTTCAGCAGGCACGTAGGATGCCAGGAATGAGATGGGAAGTTTACTGATTTCTCAGAAATAGCCTGTACCATTTCTGTAGGATGGAAAAAATTCAAGTTTTAAAATGCAGATCAGGAGTGGACAGGATARTAGATATGCTTACACCAGTTTTTGCTTAGATTTGTTTTAAGGATTTACTTACCCTCACAGAGATAYAAAAAAAAGGTTATAACCCAATATTAATTCTTTTTCCTATATATAGGAATTAGGGGCACAGACAGTAGCTACAATCATTGCTGAAGACGACTGTGTGCAAGAACACGGAAAACTCAAGACTGTAATGTCATTATATGAAAGTTAAACACTAGTGGTTGTAAGTAAATTAATACCAGGGGTTTTTTTTTTTCATATAAAAGTATGCATATGTCTGTGCATACAAGATTCGTGATGAGAAAATTTGGTAAAACATCAGATGCCTAAGTAGCAGGATGAACACTCATACTACAGATGAATACTAATTAAACAACTACAAGCCTTCCCTATTRTAAAGGTATTCATTTCAGGAGGAGAACATATGAAATGAAAGCTCTGAAACTAATGGAGGCTTTGGTTTTTTTTTTTTCAGTTCTTAGTATTACCTCTACTGTTTGCTGCCTTGAGCATTCTGATCTAACTTTGAAACTAGCTATACTTGGAGCAGAAGATCAAACTGGCAGACCTCCAGAGGACCCCTCAAACTTAAAAAAAATTGTTACACATTTCTAATGAAGGATTCAGCAGATCCAAATTCAATCAGTTACTTCCATTCCCTTACTCTTCCTAATTTATCAAGACTCTGCACTTTCTTGATATCCAGTTTTTTCCTCAAACCCATTTATCTTACAACTGTGTGGAAAACTTCCTGCAAAAGAAGAAAGGAAACAATTGAGCCTTTTCAGCAAGAATCCAATCTGTTGTTCCAGGACCCTCTAGTATTTTCCTTTTCTCATGAGGATGAGTGCATACCATATGAAATACASCCTAACCTCCTGAGAAACAAAACTAAACACCACTTCCGAACACGTGTTCCTAAGTTTGGAAAACATGATTAGTTGGAGCAGGATCAATAAAAAGCGAAATTAGAAAATAATTCCTTTCTTCTCTAAAGATCACACACAAACGTGATTGGTTTTTGTAATGTGACAATGTCTGGAAGATCATTTGACCTTTCAAAATGAGTTTCTTCAGAGAAGTGGAATGCTTTTAGTGGAAGTCAGGAAAAGATCCTTTGCAAGCAACAGGGAGAGGATGTGGGTTGATAGAACAAAATAAAAATGTAATTAAAGACAGGTGGCACCCTTTATTTCAGTTTCTCCACATCTAATGAAAAATCTGTGCCACAGCCCTAACAGAGTTAAAAATTACTTGCCCATTGTTAGCCAGTTTTCAGAACAAAGTGAGAATTTGCTCACCCTCATATTCTACAATGTCTGACAACCACACATAAGGATGAACAGAGCAGAGAAATATTAATAGGGAAATATAAAGAGTTGGAAATATTAATAGACAGGTACAAATGGAAAAGCAAGAATGCCTATTCATATAGAGCAAGATAAAAGAGTACCAGAAAATTTATATTGATACTAGCAAGAGAGCTGGCAGCAAGCAGAAACTAGAAGATGTGATTAACATAATGGAAATAYGGAATCATATAGGATTTGAAGTGAATATTATGCTGAAACAGGGCTACAGAAGATCACAAACTCTGTACTGAATGAGCATAAAGTCTACGTGAAGGGATCCACAATGCAGAGTAAGAAAATACAGGGTCCAATGGTTTTGCAGAAGTTTTCTTTTGTTCTCCATGGTCCAAGAAGGCAAAAAGGAAAGAAAAAAAATCAATCTAAGTCAAACTTTCCTCTTTTTGGAGGAAAGCAATGCAGCAAATGGATAAAAAAGTGAAGGAACACAAGTGTCACAAGTTTTAGAGAGTTCTTAATAATGCAGACTGCTAACGGTTTCTTTACAAAATAGATAGCCATCCCCCTGGAAAAAAATTAGTCAAATGTGCAGGCAGAAATGAGGCTGCATTCTGCATTTCAAGGTGCCCAGTCTTCACAGATTCTGCATAGCTAGATCTTGCAGCTTCCCCAAACTCAAACTGAACTGGTGMATGACAGACCATTGTGAGGGCAAGGAAGAAAGCTGAGCATGTATCTCAGAACAAAAACCTTYCTCAGGAGCATCCATAAGGTGCCCAAAAACTTGCCCACACAACATTGCATTAGTGTGGTGCATGCCCTTATTTGAATGTAAAACAATTTTACTTTAATGAGCCTATATTTTAAAAGTCTACTAGTTTCCTTCTCAGAGCACTTCAGCAAATACAATCAATAACTCCTAAAATATTCACAAGAATAAGACTATCAAAAAGATACTGCAATTGTATTGATTCAAGCAAAACAACCTTTCAAACCATTTGACTGTCAATGGCATGTGGGTCCTTAAAGAATTATGCATGTGAAAACTTGCTCCATATTAAATGTTTGAACATTCTGAACATTTGCAGATCCAGAGGAAGAAATTTATGGCAGCAGCGGTTTCCATTTGATCAACATAAAGGTCAGAGACTAGATAGACTGGGTATGTTATTAAAACAAGCTATAAACACTGTAAATGTTTCCTTGACAATGTCATGTAGTTTTTCCTCTGAGCAGGAAGTATCCCAGCTATGCCTGCACGAATCTCGGGTTCCAGTGCAGGAAATAACTGTGTCCAGAAAAATTAGCAGCACAGTATACTTCCATTTAAAATAATCTTTGAAATGAGATTCCTTACAAATGTTAGAGCCCACAATCTTAAAAAAGGCAAGACTCAATTATTTAGCTTYTAACCTGCATTTTTAAAAAAACAACAAAATAATAAACAGCAGCTTAATGAGTTGTGGGTAACATTGCCTTACACTTTCCTGCTGCCAATTTACTGTGAACTAAAAGCAGCAGAGGTTCAGAAAGAGAACTTCATGCCAATGAAAGAACTTCCTAAGGGTTTCATTCAGAGTTGGTTGAATCAGAGAGCATCCATTTTGTTTCCTCTAATTGGCTTTGCTTCCTGCCCTAACAAGACAGACTAACCTGAGAGGTTCCCATCAGATTTACACAGGGAATTGTAGGCCACAAACACATTAGACCGGTCAAATGCTATGCCAGGTYTTAAAAAAAGACCAAGAAGTGTTTGGAGGTTCTCATGAGCCAAAGGAAAGTGAATGGCATAGGCCATACAGACCATATAATTTTTCTCCAGAATGCTTATAATATCCACTCCATAGAAAGGGATTTTTGCATCTCCAACCATTTTATAAACACTAATAGATTTGGCTCACAAGGGAACAATAGTTCTGTCTAACCCACAGCCCRTGGTCAAAACGGTGACTGGAATGTAGTTAGGGAGTGGCTAGGGAGTGGTGCAAAGCTGCAGCTGGAACATGCTCCTCACGGAAGCTGCACTGGTGCAATGGATACACCAGGGATTACAGACACTGTGATCACCATCCTGTCTGTTGGGAGCACAGGAACCACAGCYTTGGCGGCCCCACCTGTTTTTCACAAATGCTACCCAGCAGTAGAGATATCTTCTGTAGGTTTGCAACATAGAAAGCCTCCCCTCAACTTCTGCTCTCAACTCTCCCTTCCTTTAGGATGGAAAAGTGACCTTGTTTGGTCAGCTCCCCCACATCCCACAGGATTTCAGCCGTAATTAGTCCTATTAGAACTTGAGCAAGTACAATACAACGTGCAATCAAGTATTCTTTCACAGATATTTCACAAATATGTGAAATTATTTCATGAAGATTTCAGCACATTACTCTCTTTCAACAGGCTGCATGTCAAAATAATTGTCCCCAGTCTAGAAGGAACCTGGCTTTCAAATATCCTTTGAAATTCCACCCACTTTGACATACATAGAAAGTACTTCTATAATTTGCAGAATATTTAAATTGGCTTCTCAGAAGGACAGAGGATGTCACTTCATTCAGAAAAAAATAAGTTAAACTTTAAAAGTTACATTTCCAATCTCTAGAACAAGGTTAATGTAAATTCTTTTTCTAATGCTAAGATTCAAGGAACTCCAGATGGCATTAATGAGATCTGTGTAGATTATAATTATGCTACCTGTACTTTTCTTCATGCTGCTTCAAGAATCCTGGTAATAAACACAGCCACATTCATGCTGGGAATACTTCTGATATGAAACAAGGTGAAAGGAGGACAAACATTTGATATACTTTCATAAGACAGAATCTACTTTAAGCAGAAGTCTAAATGTCAGCAAGGTAACAATACACAATCAGTACAATAGAAGCTGGAAGGTTAATATAGCTCCGTATATGCCAGTTTGCCTCTTCCACTTCATTAAAAAGTTGGATGTCTACTCACCAGTTTCCTGGGGGAAAGATGTTCACCAATAAGCAGCTCTCCATCATCTTTAATCAGCGGACTGGGATTTGGGCTGTCTTGCCAATTCAAATCAGTCTCCTGGTCTGCAGATGAGTCTGGATGAGAAACTCTGTCAGGATTCCACTTCAGRTCCATATCAACATGCTTTGAACAAAAGGATAACAAGCACTCTGATTTTTCTACCCGTACTTATTATTTTCCCTTCAGCAAAATCTATTTTGACTCTCACTGCAAGACAGAAAATACCTATGGAGATACAGGTTTCTTTAATCAGAACAAACCCAAAGCCATGCATCACGTAACACATATTATTCCTTTTCTTCACCCTCAAGAGCTACCTGAGTTCCACACCTCATTCAGCTCTGACTGTAAGATTTTACAACAAACTGTTCTTTGCAGTTATACAAGAAGCCAGGCATAGCTATCACTGTACAAAGAAGAAAGCTGAGAATAAACAACTCAGGACACTGGTCCTTTCCGCCTTCTCACTGCCCCACTCACCCTTCTCCAGTATCAGTGAGCTTCCCATCTAYACCAGCTCCCTACCTACCCATTTTCTCTTGGGAAATGGGAACAGCACTCAGCAAAACTCTGTTGGACTCCAGACTGCAAGTGCTAGTAGCCAGGCACAACACAACCTCTCTCCAGCATTTTGAGCTCTGCCTGCAGGTAGCATGGACAAAACCTGTCTGTATTTGCTGATCTAAATCAAATATCTGGGCACTGTTACTGACTTTAGAACAGRCAGGCCATGGCTACTGATTTCTAGTTTTGAAGAGAGTCTTGGAGAAAACATATTTAAAATATAATTTAAACAAAGCTGTGTATGCTTCAAGTGAGGAATGAAATACAAAGTTTGAAGATTAAACCCTTCAAATGTGGTCATTCTTCAATTCCCAAAGATATCGCTTTCACAGAAATATTAGCAATTAACTTTGAAATATGAGAGTAAGCATATGTACACTAGTTGGAGTCAAAAAGCAATCAGCTATACCCAAATGGCACAAACATTACTATGATTTATACAGCTATTTACTACTACTTGGCAACAAGGAAGTATCACAGCTGGAAACRCTGCTGTAACAACAAAAGGCTAGACTAGAGAAAAGCTGTCTTGCTCTGCTGAAGGGACACCTGCAGTTTTGTTCTGTTCTCCACTGTGAAGCAATACTTACTCTTAGTGCTGGAAAAGTAATTAAATGATCAAGCTAATCATAACTGGCTGACAAAGCACCAGTGGTGGCCAAGACCTGAGAATTACCACTTTCCTTCCTCCTCATACTAATAAACAGTTAAACACAGGAATAACTTCTGTTAGGACAAAYAGAAGCTCTGACTGCTCAGCTGGTCATCTCTGCTAGAGAGGATTGACTTGTTAGCAGGTGAAAGAGGTTTGGATCGAAAAGACTTCTTCCTCTCAGTAGTCTCAAAAGACTACTCATGTCCAGTCAAAATTCCTCACTTGCACAAGAAGGAGAATTTCAAAGGACTCCGTATTGTCGGAAAAAATAGCAGCCCTTACCCAAACAAAAACAGCAACAAAAAAACTGACCATTCACCAAACCTCTCTCTGAAGAACCTCCTAGCATTAGAAAGGGAGGAACCAAACCCTCTAATTCCTAAGAGCTGCTTCTATATACTCATCAGGGCAGAAGAAGCCCGCAGAAATCTAACCCTATTTTTTCYAGATCACTGAACCTATCTGGCAAGCACTCCTACAGGAGAAGCTGACTGCTCAAATATGCTGCAGCTAAGCCACAGCAATATTCAGGGCCTAAAAAACATGTTCAAGAACAAATTCTTCAAGCTCCTTTCAATCTTTCTTACTGGCTTTTAAAAGAACCACCATAAAGGGAATTGAGTAGTGATGTTTGCAGCTTCTAAAACCTCAGTACACCTACAGCAGTGTAAGAACAACTTTCATACTTCAGCCCATCAGAAGGGAAAAGAGACCTCAAAAACACAATGTGTCTTGCACTTCGGAAGAAAAGCTACAACACGTAAATTTTTATCACCTGSTTCTCTTCCTAAAGAATTTTAGAATTTCTCAGAGTTTTTTTCCCTCTACTTTGTTTAGAACAGGTCAGTATGATTTAGTCAGTAAAGAGTTGTGACAGTCATCAGTTATCCAAGAAAATTCAATAATTTGCTGTCATATGAAGGTCTTCTGGTGTTGTCATTATTTTCCTCTGAAGGAATCATCTTGTTCATTAACTGATCTGGAACAGAGTATCTGTCATATAAATTCTATAACCTTTTGCCAATTGCATAAGACTAGCACTTGATTGTGGGCAAGTACTGGTGGTTCTTTCTAACTCAAGTGAGGATTSTTGTTATCCAGAGATAATCTTGTATGTTATCAGCGCCAAGTGGAGCAATAGCCAGAGAACACTGATGTAATGTGTGAGTGAAAAACACAATGAGGTAGAGCAATGAGATTTTGTAGATGTGGGCTGCAAAGTGTTAACATGATTGCATAAAACAAATTACTGTTCTCCCTGTGTTGCACCATCACCATCACATTTCAGAACATCCTCAAATCTTTGAAACATGTTGATACAGCATTTACTTAAGGCTTGACAAGGAGATCAATTTGTGGCTTAATATCTGAAGCAACACTTTGTTTTATACTTTCCTGCTATTGATCTGCTCTTGTAATTATTGTAACATTGCATTCGTGAGGAGAAAAGTATTTTCATTACAAATTGTTTGGGATCAAGTTAAATTATTGTCAGCAAGCAAATCTATTTTTTATATGGTTCTATCACTTCAAAGCTTTCTCCAGAAAAGAAAGAATCTCCTCCTCAACACAGATCAAAACAACATGCTGAAAATGAGGAATATGGAAAGTTAAGAGTGCAGTAATCCTAGTTGTGAGGTGCCAATCTTTCATAAAATCCATGAACCTCAGAAATCTCCAGCATGTGTAGGACCAAGAAGGGGGCCTGGCACAAGACTYGTCCTCTTAGAGACACAGGAGTCATGTTGCTTGTTTTTATCAGGTTTCACCTTTCTGAGACAGGGAAACCACTCCAGCAGTCACCTCAACCACTCATTTAAAATGCTAAAAAGCAACTGAGAAACCTATGACTCTAACAAATGCACAGGATAAACCAATACAGACCCAAACTAGTGTCAGCATCAGTGGGACACTTTACAGCACTGGAAGCCTTTTGTTGCAACTAAAGAGGTCTGAAAAGTCACAAATTTAAAAATTTCCTTCATGAAGAAGATGGTTGCATTGGATATTTGTTGGATCTATGTGCTGAACTGAACCATTAATGCTTTGTGGGAACCACAAGGATGGAAGCTAACTTCACGGGGACAGCAAAGCAATATCAGAAAGCACATGAGTGTATCAGGGGAAGAGAAAATGTCTGAAAAATAATGGAGTTGTATACTGCATGTGAATATTGAGAAGAATAAAAGAATGAAAGAAATCAATTAATTCATTTTTGCAGAATTTGCATCAGAAGTCTTAAYTTGGCAGCCTCTTCCACGCATGGATAACTAAAAACAAATAATCATTGAGTGAGGAGGAATCAATGACCAGAGCGGTGAGATGGAAGATTTTGAATTCTACGAATCTGCCAACTTTCTCCACTGCTGCCACTTTCCTTACCAAGTGAGTGTGTGTGATCATGGTAAGCTATTCAATTCACAGACATGTCGTAACAGTTCATTAAAAACGGCAGGACATTCAACATATATAAATACCAATAATAAAGATCATCATTAAAATTAAATGATCCTTGGAACAACAKGTTATTTAAAATCCCCTCAGAATATTGTAATTTGCTAGAAAGAAATTGGCAGAGAATAGTTATTTGATGTTCTTAGGGTCTGACAAACTGGTAAGACTCCAAGATTTTATTTTCYTGCTACAAGTTTTATCAAAGAGTCAATAATAGCATTGTGTATTCTTCATTAAATATATATTAATGTGCATTTCAAATTCAGATATTGCCAGAAATGTTTGACCCAATATTAATTATGGCTTCTTAAGATTAGGAAAGAACCTCTGAATTGAATGACTAGGCATGTTAATTTCTAATGCAGCCTTCACGGCATTACCTAAAGAGCTTGTCCAAGCAATTAAGTTACTGCATAAAARCAAACAAACAAAAAACAACCCAAACAAGAGTAGTTAATCTAGATTCACTCTAGGAAAGGCATATACCTCTATATATTAACATCCCRTAAAAAGAGGAATCTCTACTGCCTTAGGCCAGGTTCTCAACCAGCACCYTCTCCTGCTCTGTGGCTGCTCATGATCTCACTGGATAGGAAGGGTGCCATTTCAGCTGGGGGTACTGCAATCTCTGGACCCTTATCTGAATGTCACCAGCCAAAAAATTCTCCAGAATAAAAAAAATGAGAACCATTGTGTTATCTATCCCTTCATGACAAGGAAGCTTGCTCTGCAGACTTCCATTTCTCTTGTCTTGCATAATATAATTTTTGTCTCTTTAATTCAGAATCACAAATTACAGCAGTGCCCATACTGTTACCACTGACACAGAATGAAAACAAAGRATTCTGTATTTACTATGGATTTGACAAAATGCTTGGTTTACAAGTCCCAAGGGAACGATGAGTGCCCTTGTAAAGTGTAATTTTGCGCAAGTGCACTGCAGATAACCTCTTCTGGAAAAGAACTGTTTGGGCAGCTGGAATTTACTATGATGTCACCAGGAAACTACTGTTACAATAATCCACCCATAATGGCAAAAACAGTTCCTGCAACATTTATGTAATACAAAGCATCCTGCAGCACATCAGTCTATTCTAGCAGGTGCAACTTCTAAAAAACTGAAAAATAAAACACCAGTCCTGTAATTAATATGACTTTTTTTCTGCATGTGACTAAACAATCTGATTTTARTCTTCTGGTTTTGTTAAGTAGAATGAGGTAACAACTACTTCAGCAATGTTACTTTAATATCAGGGGATCATGCAAACATTAAAAAGAGCACTCATAAATATTCCATTTCTGTGCCCCACTAAAAAAAAAAACTTTTAAGAGAATGCTGAAATATTAAGATAACAATATCCCATTTAATAGAATTAAAAATTCACTGTCTTTAATGATACYGATTGACTCAAATGCTTACAATTATATTTTTGTGTAACTGTTCAGGCAATTTGAGACCTTGGTTCAAGCATCCAAATTTGTACACAAAGCAAGTGTACTGATTTATCTCATTTGCTTACCTAACATATTTATGGTTTTACAAGCTGTAAGAGTGTTCTGACAGTTCTTTSCTATTACATGTAAATCCTGCCCTACAGTTGCCACAAACCTGGCAGGTAAGCCTTGGCTTCTATGTCCCATAGACTCCTCAGGAAATGTTCTTGGGAGCTTTGTGGACTTTGTAATGCCCCCATGCAYGGAGGTGAGTTCAAACTGTGCTGTCACTCAAAGCAGCAGTGATCCCAGAGAAGAAAATGTATGCTACAAACCCAGACACTGTTGAGATGAAAGATGTGAAATGTTATTGAAAAACAGTAATAATAAAAAGGCAATGCCTTTAAATGCCACCCATTTYTCCTTTATATATCTACAGATTCCATGCAGATATATAAATATAGTAATTTCACAATAATGATTGCATATCTAATACTTTCCCCCTCAGATCCTGCTGAGCACATTTTAAGGTGCTGGGAAATGTTTTCTCATATGAGCTGGAAATGCCTCTCTATATGAAATAATTCTGGGGCTAGCCTGCCAAATTTTTAGAGAAACTTCCCTGTCTGACCATCCAGGAGCCACTCTGTCAGACATACTCCCACCACTCCAGACTTTCCCTCCTGGTACCAAAGTCCCTTTGCAGCAGGYRGCCCCAGTGAACCCCAYRGGTGCCCCTCTTGGCTCCCTGCACATCTCACACTCACACAGYCAGACAAGGCTTGGCTCAGCCCTGAGTTTTCCCCAGCAGAGTCTCAGATGTCTGGATGCTTAGAGGAATTTAATCGTGCTGCAGTGACATAAAACCAGCTCGAGCTGATGCCTCTGGGGAGGGACTCCAACAAAGGAATCCCCAGGTTTTGTACCCTCAGTGCCTGTGATAGTTTGGGGTCTTCCTGCAGAGTCCTTGGCTCCTGCTGTGTCTGAGTGTCCGGTCACCTGCCCTGTGCCACAGGTCCCTGTGCCCTTTGCTGTGCARAGGGTCAGCACCAGGTCACAGTCCCTTGTCTGGGGCTCCCACCATGTCCCCCATCCAGGCACAACCTGCAGCTCCCACTGCAGCTGCACACCCAGCACCTGCTCTCAGTGTATTCCTAACAAAACGTCCTCATAGTAGAATATAAAAGCAGATTATGTGTTCTATTACATGTCAAAGGAAAAATAAACCAAAGTTGAATCAATTGGTTTTAGTTTTTAGAGTGCTGTGGTGGAAGGTGGTCAGTGATAATTTCTGTCTGGCTACAAATGTTTATGAATTCTCTCTGCAGTGCAAGTCTCCAGACAGTGGCTGTGGATAAGTATGGATTATCTAWATCCTTAGCTGAAAGGGAAAGACACTACAGATTGAGGGGGTTTCTTCATATGTAGGTAAACTTCTTGCTGTAAAAAAATGTCTCAAGACACTCTTCTGCTGTCGGTCCCCACAATGAGCCCAAGAAAAGCAAAGCAGAAAGCAGGATGTAGGGATAGCTGGTGAACTACAGGGGTTAAGGAAAACAGAATTCCAAGGTACCTATACCTTCACTCTCAGAATGTTGCCAAAAGAACTTAGGATTGTTTCAGTGGAGTAGATAACAAGTAAATCCCTCACCACTTTATCAAGGTAGCCAGGGATCAGGAAACTSCCTTTGGCCCTTCATGGCCACGAGCTGCCACAAGCTTTTATCCAACAGCACCCAGGTGTTAAATGAGGGAGAAACAAGGCTGGTCTCATTAAAACCCTCTTGTTCTTATGCAGGGGTCCTATCATGATAGCTAATGACAAGGTACACAGGAATCAGCACATCTGTGCTTGTCTCACACRCACAGATCCTGCCTTAAATGTAGATGTCACTGGAAGATGCTTTTACATTCCTCACATTTAAAAGGCATAATTCAGCAATTATTTAAAAATTCAGATGCTAGGCATGTTATTAGACATACTAAGAAACAACATAAGCAAAGCAAGGTTTTGCAGAATCAGTATCTTTTCAAGATGAACAAACATATTCTAACCCATGGACTCAGAACTGACAGACAGTCCAAAGCTACAGACAAGAAAAATCCTATGGTTTTGGTCTTCACAGCATTTTAAAGTATCCACCATTTAGAAGCATTTCCATATTTCAGCTGAGAAAAGGACAATAAAAACAGACCTTTTCCCCAGMTATTGCATTGAATTTATCAGACTTTTGAAATACACACTTCTATGGAAGATGAAAATGCATCATATATGGCATTTCTGAGTTTAAGCATACTCTGGTTGTCCTCGAACAATTTTCAGTCCATTTTGTTTGGCAATTAAGCTATTTGAAGCAAGAGATTTCATGGCCTGCAAAGCCATTTGAAGAGTGGCTAGGAAGTTTCTGATTTGCAGTGTGTTGCTCACATGGGACAGATTGTATAAAAAGATCTAGATGAACYTGTAGAAAAACACTTAACAGTGGATGATGCCACAGGAGCTTATTTAGTAATAGACATTGCCAAAAAATCGGCAAGGGCAGAAGACTCACAATGAAGACAACCTTGGGAAATCAATTTGGGCTACTGATGAAGAGGCATTATAATCATCCTGCTGAGCCAAGGCAGATCTCCAGCTAATTWACTGTAGTCAGAAACAGATCCTTTAAAAGCAGTATCAGAAACAGAGAAAAGTCCAAAGTGATCCTTCCCCTGGCATGCTGCTGTAATTTCGGGCAATCACTATCTCCCCAATCCRAAAGGTCAGTTGTGTTCAACAGCTGGGGAGGTGTATGGGGAAGCATTATTCATCATGTGTTGAGATATGACAAATAGTCATCCAATGACTAAAGAAGACACAGAATTTTTATCAGGAAGCAGTTTAAAAAAATGAGAAAGTGCATTTTTGCATTGTATTTATTTAAATTGGGAAAATCACAGGCATAGGTTGTTTGGAGGCTAAAATCAGAAATAAGATCAAAAGCAACTAGAAATTGTCCATGTCATTCATTAAATTATAGCTTTCTTTTGCATCATCTCATTTCATCTCCTCTTCCCTCTGAAGCATTTCATGGAAACAATTTCAGTTTTGCCATTTACCCTCTGGGATGATCAGAGCTGCACATAAATTCAAGATATGGCCATAGAGACAGTACATGAATCTCCACTGTTTTCAATTCCCATTCTCAGAAGTTTTAACACTTTGTCTGTTTGACCAATTTCAAGATTGTATTTTCAGATAAGTCCCTTCATTTTACATGTTTCTTTCCCCCACTTTGAACTTGGGTGCATACACCATTAAAATAAAGCAAACCCATGCCCAACCACCACATCTGTTAGGAAAATTGAAAAAAAAAAAAAAAAGAAAAAAAGAAAACCAAAGTAGTTTTAGGATTCCACTCTAAAATTTAATTTAAAACTGAAGATGTAAAATATTCAAGATAAACAGCCAGTTTGCTATACTTTGAATACGGCTTCCAGATGTGAGAAGCTATAGTCAAAGGAACGTGTGCTTTCTGAATTTTTTTTTAGTATCAGATAATGTTTCTTTGAACTAGACAGGGTTCACAATCTTTTCCTTTTAATAAAGATCCGTTACTATTTATTCCATCTGCCATGGCAAATCTGGTCTTCTGACTTGTACTATGGCAAGTACTTGTGACCCTGATATAAAATAGGTTTTGCTTCCAATTTTTCTAAGCCCACATGTGACTCCATAGAAGGTATAAAAACAACAACCATTATACTAATAAACTAACAATGCAGATATATATAAATTAACTTCTGTGAAAAGCTCATTAGTTTTCCAATTTAAAAAAAAAAAACAAACCTCTTCATAATTCCTCACAAATAAATATTAATCCATTCCCATCAGTGAAAAACTTAGAAATCCTAAATTTATGGTATATTACATAATGATACTATTTTGAAGCACTAACTTTCATACTACTTCAAACATTGAGGATAAATGTGATTTTCTTAACTGTGTCCCCTATGAAACTTCAGTTAGAAAGCACATGCTTTTTTTTTTTAGCACATCCAGTCCAGTGCTAAACTCGCATCTGGTCTCATATGGACTCTGCATCCTGCTTTATATAGGATCAGGTCCTTTGAACTGTGTAAGAAYAAGCTGATGGCATCCCAGATTGCAGAGCCTGTTCTTTTACTGACAGCAATGTACAACTAACAAATTGAGCTGCCCAYGGGTAGAAGGATCCACATATCAATCCCTTGAGAGGTCAGACCTACAGGAGCATAGACATTCTCAGTGTTAAAGCCAAGAGAGACAATACAAACTCCAGAAAAAAATCCACCACCACCTCCACAAGACCTGTTAATGACAGCAACTCTGAGACCTGACACGCCTGAACAMTGCACTTTTAATCCAAGATTTTAGGTGATTTGAAACCAGACAAAATAACATGAAGAAAAATAATAACATTAAATGGAAGAGTAATTAGAAAAAGTTCTGAAACATTTTTTAGTAATTTGTACATTTGAAATTATTTTACCTTTTCTTCCAATGCCATTGCTGTTCTGTATCATTTCCCATTCCTCTCCTACAAAGATTTTAATTTAATAGTCACAGCCCTTCATCTTCATTTATCTTGACTGACAGGTGTTCATAGTGTTATTAATTGTTCCATGTCCTGCTAAAACAACAGTAAGAAAACAGTCTTCAAGAGAACAAAAAACAAAACAAACCCAAAAGATTCTGATCATCAATTAATAAAGAGAAGTACTTTATACACTGTAGCACCAGAAGTCCATGCTCAATAAGGCTTAAAAGCAGAAGAGAACATGAAGCAGTAGAGCCTAGAAGAGCTTAATGAAAGTATAACTCATTGCAGTTCTCAAGACCATGAAAAGGTGAAGGATTTGATACAGAAGAATCTACATAGTTGGAAAAGAAAGAAGTTTTTTTTGCTGAACAAAAATAACTCTGATTTCCTGGTAGGAGTAAGTTGATTCTGTGTTAGAGAAAACATTGCCATTGGGGTAGCATGAGATAAAAGGCTAATATCAACATTTAGCATGTTTTCACTGTATCAGCTGTCAGAAAATGTTGCCATGTGAAAGYAGTCCAAATGGAAAATGATAGGTGAGCAGGAACATTTCTATCAGGAATCACAGCTATAGAAGACAGATGCAGAGCCAAGATAGCACAGGCCTCACAGACAGGACGAAGTGAGAGCTGAGGATATCCAGTTAACTAATTACTGACTGCYAAAAATTAAAAGAGGGTAAAGCGAGTTTCTTGCTGACAGCAAGTTCATCCCAAATCGTTTTTCATACCACAGAGGAGTCATGAGCAGGACAGGGACCACACCTGAGCCCTTTCTGCAAGAAGCTGAACAATGCTTAAAGCAAATAAACTTGGCATTGGAGAATCTCTTTAGCCCTTCTAGGGAAGCTGAGGAGGCACCATAGAYGAGCCATATTGTCTCAGTATGAAATATTGGGGATACTTCTACAACTTGCACCTGCTTGGGACTATTTACTCATTAACTTTTTTCTCCTCAGAGTTCCACCAAAACACAAGATTTAAACACGCTGTTAAACCATCTACCAGATTCATTGTGAACGCTGACATAAACAGAGTCTTTCTGTCTCAGAGCTCAGGTGCTTTCCACCTGCACACTGGTTGGATTGTTACTGCGATGCACATGCTTTGGTGGGGTGTTCAACCCCTGGGATGCACTGGAGATGTCCCACACCAGCCCGTGTGACCAACACCAGGCAATGTGTCCCACACCGGTCAGTGAGTCCCGCTCCAGTCCATGTGTCCCACACCGAACACCGCGGTCACCACAACGGCCTTTCTCCAAAGCCCCTCAAAGCGGTGCACCAGCCCGGGGTAAGGAGGGGAACTCAGCCCCCACACCCCCACACACAGCCACCCCCGGGCTCCCACTGCTGCCTCCCTGCCGCCCCACGGCCCAGCTCCTACCTGCCGGCCGGGCCGGGCCGCTGGGCCGCGGGGMGAACGGGAGGGCGGCGCGGAGGAAGCGAGAGCGGCCGCCCGTCGCCCGGCAACGCCGCGGAGCCGGCACCGGGAGCGGCCCAGCCACCCGCCCAGCCAGCCGCCCAGCCATCCATCCGCCCAGCCAGCCGCCCAGCCAGCCGCCCAGCCATCCACCCGCCCAGCCAGCCGCCCGCCACGGAACGGGGCTGGAGAGTGCCCCGGCACCAAGGGTGCAGGGGGAAAAGGGGAGGCAAACAGCGGGAGCAAATGGGGGGAGCAGAGGAGGGCACGGCATCGAGGAAAGGAACCGGACGGGGAAGGCGGCAGGACCCTGTGTGGGATTTGGGCCACACGGCTGAAGAAGGGGTTGGGATTATCTGTTTCAAAACCTTTGCTGGCCGATGAAAAGCTAATGACATCATTATTCACAGGGGTGATCTTTTTGAATAAAKACCAAAAACTACAACTTGTGGTGGGTAACAAGGCTGGTTTCACCAAATAATTTGGATTTTTAAAAGGAGCTTAAAAACCAATCAGATAAAAACTTTAAATTTCCAGAGTTGTCAAAAGATTAGACATGWGAGAATGAAGTTTATCATCATCTGGATCCAACAGATGTGATTGAACTTTTGTTGGTGACATGATCGAACATCTCAGCTGGTGCAAGAATGCAATTCTAGTACAGCTCTTACCATTCTCACTCACAATTAGAAGTCTACATTTCCACATTTCGATGTAGGATTAATAAATCAGGCATCTAGGGAAATGTGATTATACCCTCAGTTGTCTACATGAAAGCCTACTTTTTCAGGGATTTACACTCAGGATGGTACGCAGTGTTTTCTCGGGAGCAGCCCTTAGCAGCGTTTCTCTTGGAGGCAGAAAGGCAAGAGGTCTGGAGGGAAGACATAGAGTCCTGCTTGCCGTATAGAACAGGCTGGGGTTTTAACTGCTCTGCTTGCATGCACTCACCCCCTCACACCTCCAATATATACCATGCCTTTGTGAGGATGTGGGAGAGCAGCAGCTGCTGCTGGATTGCATCAGCATTTCCTCTGCAACTATATTCAATGTACTCTAGGGTTTGGAAAACACTTAGACCAGAGGTCAGGAAATGTGTTGACTCCCCTCTTGCAGGTTCTGATGGACAATTAACAGCAGAGAAATTCACCAGGGGCCTGATTTTCCAAGGTGATGAGCGCACTCAGCTCCACCCGGTGTCATTGCAATCCGGCTGCCCTTCTTCACAGGAAGGAAGGCAATGGGCCTTGACGTGCTCCAGGAAGGTAGTGTGATTCAGTGAAAACAATACTGAGTCAAGCATCTGCCCCTGGAATTTTGTTTCTAATTCTGCCATTTTTTTCCCCAGGTAACTAGCTCAAATCACCTTGACTCAGTTTCCAAACACACGCCTTTTTGGAGCACACTTCCCAAAGATTATCTGTGGAGTACATATATTGTGTGTGCGCACATCTGCATGGTGCTTTTCTTTTTTTCCTTGTTTTGCTGGAAATAATCTACTTATGGCAAACGCAGTCTGAGCTATTTGAAACCACCTGAAGAAATATATCTTTCCATCAYTGATGAAGAGAAAATTCTGGCATACTTTCAGGGTAGATACAGAAACTTTATGTCTCTTTATTCAGCGTTACTGTAATTGTGCTGGCACCATTCCCAGAGCTGAGCTAAGGTCAGTGAGAAATCTGTAAATTAATAATTGTGGAGCTGATGCGATCTCTATCCAGGAACCACGCTGTACATTCATGAAGCTTTATAGTAAAGAAAGTTATGTTTCAGTTTATCCAAGCAAGTTTCAGAATCTTAATATTGACGATTAACATATCTTGGACCTACTTGGAGACAGTAGGCCTGATTCTGATCTCACCTTTACAGGAACTCCACAAAATGTTTTACTCTGGATTAATTACATTGGTGCTACCCGAATGAACAGGTACTGAAAACAGGTATCTGAAAACTAAACCTAGATAAACATGCTTTTCCTTTGGAAGTCTTATCTTGCAAAAAAGAGACTTGTCTGTTCTGGCTTTATTCAGTCACAAGCAACATCCAGTCAACCCAGCCTCTAATTACTATTCTTGATCAATAGATAATCACTGTTGCTACTTGCATTATTAACATTTAGGAATTTCATTGTACTACAACTCAGAAACACAGAACCAGAAGGGCATTTTTGGTCAGAGAAAAGTATTCTGCTATTGCACATAACCACATCAGTGTAATTTAGATATGTATCAGTGTATTCCTCCTTCTGAAAGACTGGTTCAAAGTTTCTCTCTGAAGAYAGTTCCTCTTGCAGCATGATGCCTCACCCTCATTAGCCAGCTCTGTAATCATCTTTKTTCTTGTGACAATCCCTTTTCTAGYACAACTACCAGTTTCATAGAATCATGGAGTAGTTTGAGTTTTAAAGTTCGTCTGGTTCAAGTAGGTAATACAGAATAAGGATATTCATCCCCATTTTATATGAAAAGATAAAAATCAAAATGAATCTGAGATTAAGTGGAGAATTCATACTATGGTACTGCCACCGCCATCCAGACTGCAGTTCTGCTAGAAAATGCTCCCATCTTCTTATATTGCGTGACAAGCAGAACACTGAYAACTTTCGTAATTCTTCTATTGGTTAAGAACAGTGCTGTTACTGTGGCATCCCACAAAAAATCAGCTCAGGTCTGCAGAAACAGCTTTGAAGTCTCAACTGTGGCATTAACCTCATGATTTCACGTGACTGAAGTCACTGTGTTCAGGAGATGATGTAAGAACACTTTTGACCACAGCAGGTGYTTAGGAGCTCATCCTCAGAAGCAATGAATGAGGCTGAGAGGGAAAAACAACTGATCCAAAGATCCGGAGGATGACAGCAGTCTGCAAACTGAATTTATTTTGCTGTCACTGCACCTGGCATGAAAAGAAAGGGCAATGAGAGAATCCAGTTAATAAAACATCTTCTCTGATTCAATGAGTCTGAGCATTTGTTTTTGCTCCTTTTCATAGGCTTATGTGAATTCATACACTGCAATCAGAAAGGAAAGCTTCGTCAGGAAACACATGGCAYTATGTACAAAGCTGTATCTTCTCAAACTGAACTAGACCTGAAAAAATGTTTGATAAGAGTTTTTATAGAGTATTTTAACTCACACTGAAAGATGGGCATTCACAGTTTTATGTTGCCATTGCTCCTATGAACAAGTAAACCAAACTACTGATGTCACCAAAGCACAGAAACCGTGTGTGGCATTTGAGGGTGACCATGCACTTCTGAGGTCCTGAGTGACAGAATCTGTCTCCTCTCACTGCTGCATGGTCACTCAAGGAAAGTGAACACCCTCCTTGGCTTGGTAGATTTTTGGGGTACTAGAAGGCAATAACAACAGCAAATGGCACCTTGTCATGGTGCAGGGTCTCCTAGAGAAAAGGTAAGCCTAAGATAGGCTTCAATTGTGTTGGGATATCTCATTTAAGCTACCCTGATTCAGCTCTGTTGGGAGGGAAGAACTCTAGTGGAATCCCACTTACTTTCAAGCAATAGCTGRTGTAGATACCACACCAGAGGTCTCTTTCCTTCCTTTGTACTATTGCTTTAGAAAAGCAGATTCTGGTTCACAACCAAGTGATTCTACTCGGAAGCAGTTGCATTATGTGCAGTCAAGATGATTGATTGGG